GCTCACACCCACTGATGGTGCCAAGTGATTGTGATTGGTGTCAGGCACTGGAAGCAGGTCAGAGCTGTGGCTCTGATGCCTGTTGCGGGTGCTGGCAGTGGTGAGAGCAGCAGCTCTGGTGCTGGCAGCAGGTGAGAGCACTGGGATGGAGCGTGTCATGTTCAGGAGCAAAGAATTTTTAGTAATCCCTAGAGACATGCCCCAATGACAGTGACTGGAGCCCTGCCTTGGTCTGGTGTCCCTGCTCACCTGCTCCACCATCCCACGCCCTCCATGTTCTGCATATGCCCCCTGGTGGTCAGTGCACATCATAGAGACTGGTTGGTTGTTCCTATTCTGTCCTGGTTTGTCAGTGCACATCATGGAGACTGGTTGGTTGTTCCTGTTCTAATATTTGCATATTAGCCTTTAATTATATACGATAGTTGTATAATAGCTATATATGTATATTAGAGGCCTGGTGCACGAAATTCATGCAGAGGGGGTGGAGGTGGTGTCCCTCAGCCCAGCCTGCACCCTCTCCAATCTGGGACCCCTTGAGGGATTTCCTGCTTCCCAAGTCCTGGATATCCCTCTCACAATCCAGGACTTCTGGCACCCAACTTCTCACCTGCCTGCCTTCCTGATTGCCCCTAATCACTTCTGCCTGCCAGCCTGTTTGCCCCCAACTTCCCTCCTCTGCCAGCCTGCTCATCTCTAACTGCCCTCCCCTGCAGGCTTGATTGCCCACAACTACTCCCCCCCCTTTGCAGACCTGGTGCCTCCGAATTGCCCTCCCCTACTAGCCATCTTGTGGTGTACACATGGGGACAGAATATTTGACCACATGGGGGCAGCTATCTTAATCTTGTGTGTTGGAATGATGGTCAATCTGCATATTACTCTTTTATTAGATGGATAGAGGCCTGGTGCATGGGTGGGGGCCAGCTGGTTTGCCCTGAATGATGTTCTGGATCATGGTGAGGGTTCCCTTGGGGCGTGAGGTGGCCTGGGTGGTTTTCAGGCCAGCCACACCCTCTGGTGACCCAAGCAGAGGCCCTGGCATCTGGGATATATTTATCTTCTACAATTGAATCTTTGTAGCCTCGAGCACAGTCAAGCCTCCTGCTTGCTCCCTGGCATGGCAGCAGCTATTTCTTTTGGGGTTTATTCATCTTCTATAATTGAAACTTTGTAGCCTGGAGTGGAGGCCTAGGCTGGCCAGAGCAGGTGGAAAGTTTGGCTTCCTCCATCGCCAGGGGCAACCCAAGCCTCCTTCCTGCTCTCTGTTGTGGCAGCCATCTTGGTTTGGGTTAATTTGCATACTTGCTCTGATTGGCTGGTAGGCGTGGCTGGTGGGCATAGTGGGGTGATGGTTAATTTGCATATTACTCTTATTAGGTAGGATATATTTGAATAGCTTTATATAGTTGTATATTTAATTGGATAGTTGTATTTTGCTACTGCATATTCATTTAAATAGTTGTATAGAGCTAGCTATATATATACTTGAGTAATTGTATATAGCAGCATGCATTTATAGTTGAACAGTTGTATATAGTGCTATATATTTAGTTGAATAGTTGTACATACTTGTATATATAGTTGAACAGTTGTATATAGCTATATATGTGGTTGAATAGTTGTACAGATGATCTCTTAGATCTTTTTACTAGATTAAAAAATTATGATAATGATTCTCTGATTCTGTTTTTCACTCTTTTAGTCCTTCTTTCTCCTAACATTTAAATTTTTGTTTTCACTGCTCTATTTTTTCTTGTTCCAAATTATCTAATATTACTTTTCTTTCTCATACTCTTTATTTTTTTCTGTTCTTTGTTTCTCTCCTTTTACTTATTTTGTTATTCCTCTATAGTTTTTCCTTTGCTGAGGTAATTAAGACTGTCCACATATGTAATATTAAGGCATGCATTAAGAAAGTGGGAGAAGACACCTAAGTTCAAAATTTTACCCTTTTCCAAAAAAATGCAGTACTGTTATATAACACAGAAATGTACAGTCCAGAACCCATGCCTCACAGAAAATGTTTTGAAATCTTTTATATTTTGTTTTCTGAGTAATTTTTTTTATTTTTCTTTCTTATTTTGTTTTATTTTATCTAAACAGAGTACGGACAGTCTTTGAAGTCTAATCATGATCACTACAGATGAACCCAATATACCAACTTTCCAACATTCTATAGAGTATTAGAAGATTTTTACATTTTGAAGAAGGGGAGAAAATCTAAAAATAAAATTTGGTTGAACTACTAAGAACTAAACTATGATGGATCTGTTGATTTAGAACTAAAAACAGATGGGTAAATTTGGGATGGAGATGAAGGTCTGAGTCCAATTCAGTTTGGATGTATGATTACTTTTCAGGTCATCTGAAGTTTAAAAAGCAGTATTTATGATATCTGGCTTTTGTTTGATCATTTGGTTATGAAACATTGAAAAACTCTAACTGTTGTTCTTATTACATATCTATTAGGTATCAGCAAATAAAAACAATGTTGTCACTAGATGAAAACAGCAGGTTCTGACAGTTTTGCAGATATACTGGCTCTAATTACAGATGAAGTAAAAGTAGTTCATTTATACTTTTATGTCCGAAATTTTCCATCATATCCCTTTATAGACACTTCCCTGTAGTCAACCTGGGAGTTTTCATTTCCCATACTTTGGAAAATGGTCAAGTGCTAACTTCCATTTCATTTCAAAAAAGCCAGAAGTTACAGTTTGTGCTGGTCACAGGCCTCTGCAAGTTCCAGTTAATATCAGCATGACCTGGCATAGCTAGATCAGATTGACCAGAAAATACATTAGCTTCCAATTCAGCCTCCTTGTAAAATTTTTGCTTGAATTTAATATATTTATACTGAATTTCCCAAAGCTTCTGGCAGGCAAGGGAGTACACAGTGGTACACGAAGGAAGACTCTTTGGAGCTTTTACAAATATTTCATGGCGAGGACTGGACGTTTCTCCCCGAAAAAGACCACCTGCTGTTTCTATGAATTTAGCATACTAACTGCTCTGTTGCTCACATTCAGAATAAACCAAAGTCTTTGTTTGATGAACCAAAAATTTAAAAAAAAAATCAAATTTAGGCTATACTTAGATCACTTAAAATTAGATTTCATTCATAGTTTTATTTGAATGTAAAAAAATAAAACTAAAAAATGAGGAGAATGGTATCCTTTTTCCCCTTCATTGACTTTAAATAGATGTCATTGGAATGTAAAATCTGAGTGAAATTAAGAAATGACATTCTTTATTTCCCACAGCTAAACATATATTTAATATGTTCCCAGACTCATCTAAAAACCTCAAAAATTTAGATGCAGATAGTAATTTAGATGCTTTTGAATAAGTATACTTTTAATAAAGGTTTGTGACCCCTTTATACCCTTCAATAATATATGAGTGTATGATTTATAAGTACTTATTAGTGAAGTCTTCCAACTAAAATGAGTGCAATCGTAGACCTGGGGTCAGTTTTTAGTTACCAATTAAGAAGTTCTAGAAGGCATTAAATATGCCAAACATGTCATTTGAAAAACATATGTGAGTGTGACTGCATTCCATGGGCCATGTTGTATATTTTTTATTTTCACACTGATAGTATGTAATTCCTTTATTTGGTGATCTTAATTTCTAGGTTATTTTAAGAAATTCAAAACATATACCATAGTAGTCTTAAGAAAAAATAAATAAACAAACAAATGTTTGATGAAAATAATAAATCTAAGTATAGATTTCTGTCAGAAAGAAACTAGCCACAGAAACAGTTTCTCTTACTATATTATGTTTATAGAATAATGGAAAGGTTATGTTAACATGTATTTGTCATTATGCAGTATTTTAATATCTTTATAAGCCTATTCCATTATTATTATATTTACATTTGGTATATTTATTCTTTTATAGTTATAATTACCAATATATTTCATTTCAGTTAAAAAATTTGCTAAATGAATTAGGTTTTTATATGGAATAGATTTGCCATTTTGAATTCAGGCAACAAATCTGAATTCATTTTATTAGTTTAAAATTTTTAATATTCAAAAGTTCACTTATATGTATGATATTCAAATTGCACACATTTTCTATAGCACTTCATTTAGTTGTGTTAATTTTTCAATGTGATGTGTCCACAGTATTCTTTATTTTACATTTATTTTTTCAGTATGTTCACATTGTATGAGTTGTATTTTTTGCACACATATTCTTGATGTTTATGCTTGAGAGGATTTTTCTTTTGCTGTAACCAACATTCTTATAAAATACATGATATGCATTTATTTGCTTTGTGTCTTTGTCTTCATTTCACATGTTCCATAGCATGTATTTTTATATGAGTTTATTAAGAAGAAATAGTAATTTAAAAGTCTGAGATCTTTTTTTCTTCACCTTCTTAGTTCTTATTTTCTGATATCTTAAACAGATTCTCAGTAGGATATATGGCAGATAAGTTCTTAGCAATACCAAATATTTTACCTTCACATCATATCTTACGTCATGTGTTTTGGTCATTTGATTTTATTTACATTTACTTTTTTAAGTTGAATTTTACATTTTCAGTTTGTGGAAATCTAATTTGTTATTAAATGTAAGGAACTCTTTAGATTATAGCACTTTCTAATTACAAAAATCAATCTTCATTGAGAGCTATGCACTTTCAGATGCTATTTAATTTATTCCTCACAACAATGCCATGAAGTAAGTATTGAACATATTTTTATAGATGAAGAAAATGAAATGGTAGGCAGAAAGATGAATGCACTTGCCCATGGGCACAGAAATAGGACTCAAACCTAAATCAGTCTCATCCTATTTTTAAGCTACTTTTCCTTTCTGAGTTTTGTTGTATCTGTGTCAGTCCCAAACTAGTGAAATTTTGGTTGACTTATGTCCTTTAGCATTAATCCTTCACACTTCCATTTCTGCAAGGATGTCATATTGAAGCAGAAAAAAAAATAATAATACAATTAAACATTAAAATGTGTCTTTTCTTTTAGCCAGAAACGTTTGAGCATCTTTTTATCAAGCATACAGAATCTGTGACATTTGGTCCTCTTCTTTTGGAGCCTGAAACCATTTCAGAAGATATCAGTGTTGATACACCATGGGAAAATAAAGATGAGAAGGTGCAAACTGCTTTGGTTCCTCTACTTTTGACAACTGCAGATCTTGAAAAGGGTTCCATTTGTATTAATGACCAATGCAATAGTGCTAGCTTCTCTGAGGCGGAGAGCACCAAAATGACCTGTGAGGGTGAAGGCAGGAGACAATCCTCTGTTAAATATGCCACTCTGCTCTGCAACTCTAAGTCAAGTGCAACTGATGATGAGCAAGGGCTTATCAATAGCTCAGTCAGCAAATGCTTCTCTAGCAAAAATCCTCCAACAAAGGATTCTTTATCTACTAGCCCTTGGGAGATAGAAACACAGGCATTTTTTATGTTATCAGATCAGCACCCCAATATAATTTCACCACACCTTACCTTCTCCGAAGAATTGGACAAACTTTTGAACCCTGAAGGAAATTTCTCTGAAGAACATAATGATGAAAAGTCTGTCTATTATTTAGGGGTCACCTCAATGAAAAAAGAGAGTAGTGTGTTTCTGACAGATGAGTCAGGGGTGTTGTGTCCATTCCCAGCCCACTGTTTATTCACTGACATCAGAATCCTCCAGGACAGCTGCTCACACCTGGTAGAAAACAATTTCAACTTAGGAACTTCTGGTCAGAAGACTTTTGTGTCTTACATGCCTCAGTTTCAGACTTGTTCCATCGAGACTCAGAAAATCGTGGAAAACAAGATGTGTGACCTAACTGTCTAATTTCACTCAAGAAACACCTCAGATTGTTACAGTGAATCATATGAACTGTGATATATGTCCCTAGAGTTACTAAGGGAGAGAGGAGAAAATTGTCAGTTATATTTGAAAGTGACTGTTTCAGAATTAGTGGTATCTGTCCTTCAGTATTATAGACAAATGACGTGAGAAAGCCTTCAGAAGCCTAGCCATGCAGACAGTCTCTTCTAATGATCCTTTTAACAAGCTACACTGGGAACGTCTCTGATGGCTTGTTTCTTGCTAAAAATAAGCTCAACAAATATTTTTTTTATGAAAGCAGACCTGTGTAGAAATATCTCACCTGAATCAGACCCACATCTGAAAGAAGACTTCAAACTAACACCTGTGAGATATAACTCTTGTTTCAAGGATGTGTTGGTTTTACCTTGAGTTTGTCTTTGTTTTACACTAATTGACATACGTGCACATGCACGCGCACACAAACTCACACCTATTAGGTATCGTTTGTGCATTTTTAAAGTATGTAATGTATTTGTATTTTGTGCTACTAGACTGTGCTAAAGGGTTTTTTGTGTGTGTGTGTGTGTGTGTGTGTGTGTTTTATTAATTTAACTTGCCTTGAACATTTACTCTATGTTAGGCACTCCACTAAATGTTGTATATAAATAGGAGATTTAGCCCTGGTCTAGGGGTTATACTTGTGAAGGCTGACAAGCAAGCCAATATTTATGTATCAAATCTAAGATATGTGCCATAGAATGAAACCATTTATTATAATGGCAATTCCCACAGCCAGTATTTAGAGGTCAACTCAAGCACTTTTGAAAACATGCCTGTCTTAACTCTTCTCTATAAATATGTTGAAATGTTCACTTTCTTTTTTTATAATGAGTATTTCTTCCTTGTTTTTATTTTGTTATAAATATATTTGTGTGTGTATCAAGTATCTTTGTTTTATTTTCCTCTCTTGTTCCCTTATCATGTAATATAAAATATATTACTGACTTCATATCACAGTATTTAAGTTGTTAATTTTACATCACAGTATTCAAGTTATGGGATAGCCAAGAGAGGAGTAAATATCACTTTCTGGTGGCTGGATTGCCAAATGTTACTGTATGTCACTCTAGAATCATTGTCTTTCCCTCATTCTCATTTGCATGTACACTATTTTTCTCACTTACAAAATATTCTCTTTATGTAAGCCAATCACTGTGCTAATACTTTCTACACTTTAACTCAACTAATTATTAAAATAATTGTATAAGACATGGACTACTACTACATTCCTTAAAACATTAGGAGATTAAGTGATTTGCCCAAAGTGGCAGAGTTAGTGGAAGATGCAACCAGAATTCAGATTTAAGCCCAGATCTTTTTACTACTAGTGATCATGTTTTTAACCTATACCTTGTACTGCCTTCCATTAAACAACCCCTCCATAAAAATCGATGTGTCATCAAATAAAATCTATTAGGTAGAAATATAATGGCAGGTGAAAATTAACTGAGAATTGCATAGATCTTGTCTTTGCCTCTAAACACTTTAAAGTTTGTTGTTTATGTCAGCTTTTGGTATGGAAAGAAAATTGCAAGACAGCATATTGGGCAAAAAACTAAGTTAAAAGCTGCATAGATAGATGTTCAAATGCAATAAGTGAGAATTTAAAGATCAGCATAAGAAAGAACTTTAGTCCTCAAAAATATGATGATGGGTTATTAAACATCACGAATTTCATACTTAGACTGAGAGAGGATTTGCTGATTGAACTCTTCCCCCAAATAAAGTCTTACATGCCATCTCTATTCCAGGTGTAGCCATATTAAATGAGCAGTTCTAAACAATGACATAGATCTCAGATGCTGTCTGATTCAGTGATCCTACTTCAGGGAATACATCCTAAAAACCCCCAAAACACCCATCAAAAAGAATGTGTGCACTCCTATGTTTATAGCAGCGTTATTTGCAACTAAAGGCTCAGTGCACAAAATCTTGGAAAACCTAGACCTGCAACGCTGGCAGGACCCCAGACGGTCTGTGGGCAAGCTGGGGAGAGCTGTGAGCCCCTCCACTTCATCAGGTTGCGCAAGCCAGGAGCCCAGCTATGCCATGCGAGCTTCAAACCCCACCCCATTGCTGTGAGCAGCTCGTGGGCCAGGGGGAGGGACCGAGAGGTGCTCCATGCACTTCCTGGTGATCAGTCGTTTGGTTGTTACAGCATCATGGTGTTACAGCAACTGGCCTTTTATAGTATAGACTAGAGGTCCGGTGCAAGAAAATTTGTGCACAGGGGAGGGAGTTCTTTCAGCCCGGACTGCTGCCCATCACAGTCCAGGAGCCCTCATGGGATGTTCTAATGAAGGCTTAGACCTGCTCCCCATGAGGAGCGGGCCTAAGCTGCAGTCTGGCCTCCCCCTGCAGGAGGCGACCAGCTGATCAGGTAGATAGATACTTTCTAGGGGCAGCACAGGCTCCTTCCCTATTTCTTTCCCCTGTGATTGGAGAACAGGGGACTAAAAGGTGGAGACAGAACTGTGTCTCGGCCTGGGGCTTTGGTAAGCAGCAGAAAAAGGGAGAGAGCTGGGTAAAATCTAGACACATGTCCTTCGATTGTCCTCCCTTCCTCCGGGCCTTTCCCTCCATTTTTTTTCCTTCTCGTGGTGGACGCTCAGACCTCCAACCGACTGGAGACGAGTGACGGTGGTGTCCAACCCTCTCACTTCTGAAAGTACAACTGCCTCCCATTCCTAGCAGGGCTGTTTTCAAGTGTCTAAAGTGCAAGGAATCTACAGCTCTTGGCCTCTCCCCTCTCGGTTTCTTCCTTGGGTTGGTTGAAAAGTTCACTGAGACACTGAAGCAGCTCTGTTCTGGGGGTCTGGAGGGGCATTGGGGGGAAATGCATGCAGGCAGTGCCACGCCCCAGGTCAGGGACACAGGCAGGCAGTGTCACGTTCTTGGCCAGAGATGCATGCAGGCAGCTTCACCTCAGCTCTGTGCAGGACGTTACTGCTGGGCAGGCCTGGGTGTGCCTCTGCTGAGGGCAGAAGTCCCAGCCCTTGTCCTTGCCCCCCAGCTCCTCTGAGTGAGCAACCTGTTGACTGATTATGATTTGGACACCATAACAGATAAATTAGCATGTTTTCTCTTTATTATATAGGATAGCTAAAATTTGGAAATAGCCCAAGTGCCCATCAGTAGATGAGTTGATAAAAAGGCTACGGTAGCCCTAACTGGTTTGGCTCAGTGGATAGAGTGTCAGCCTGCAGACTCAAGGGTCTTAAGTTAAATTCTGGTCAAGGGCATGTACCTTGGTTGGGGGCACATACCCAGTGGGGAGTGTGCAGGAGGCAGCTGATCCATGTTTCTCTCTCTCATTCATGTTTCTAATTCTCTACCCTCTCCCTTCCTCTCTGTAAAAAATAAAAATTAAAAATAATAATAATTAATCATCATCATCAATAAAATATATATTTTTAAAAAGCTATGGTACATTTACACACTGGGCTACTATCTATATATAAAATAGAGAAATATGCTAATTATCCAGGACGCTCTAATGGGTTGACTGGACAGAAGGAGGTTTTACGTGCAGGCGGGAAGGAATTTAGTAACCTTAACCCTAACCCTAACCACAGCCTTTTCAAGCCTGTGTAGTGGGAGGGCCTGACCAGCAGTGGCCATGGCTGCTTCAAGGGCCAGAGAGCCAGGCAGGGCCAAACTAGCGACTTGAGGGTGAGCCACATCGCACTATTTCGAATAGTGGGCTGGGCTCCTAGTGTGGCTATTAAAAAAGAAGAAGAATATCTTACCTTTTGCAACAGCATGGATGGACCTGAATATTATAATACTAAGCAAAATAAGCCGGTCAGATTAAGACAAGTACCATATGATTCCAGTTATATGTGGATTCCAGTGAACATAATAAACTGAAGAACAAAATAGGTCCAGAAGTATAGATGCTTGGAACAGACTGATAGATCTCAGAGGAAAGGGGGAGCTGGAGGGGCGGGAAGAGATTAACCAAAAATTCATATACATATACACAAAGCTCCTGGACACAGATAATAGTGTGGTGAAGGCCTGGGATGGGGCTGGGACTGGGTAGAGAAGGGATAAGATGGGAGGGGGGGATGGGAGACATCTGTAATACTGACAACAATAATATATACATACATACATACATACATACATATATAGATTTGAGAATTAAAATACATCCAATAGTTAAAAGATCTCAGAGCTTAATTGCTAGATAATATTTTCACACTTCATGATCATTTGCTACTTAGAAATCAATAAAGCTGTTTCATGTCACAAGTATTGTTGAGATGCCTCAGGATCTCGTGTACTCAATTGGTGACCCTGTTACAAGAAAAAGGTGGAGGGCCCATATCAGTTCACTAAACTAATAGTGTGGCATGAAAGCCTTGGTTCTGTATAAACATGAGTTGAGAAAACATATTTTTTTTCACTGATTTTTAAATGGTGTACAGATTCAAAAGCAGAAATTATTACACAAATAGAAGTTTTGGTAAAATTGGCCACTTTAAAAAATATTGCTCACAGAATACAGACATTTAATTGAGGTTATAGAAAAGTTAGAAAATTACCTTTTGTCCCAGTCTGCAATATAACTAGAGACTAAACTCTGAGCATGTCCATTGAGACACAACATTGGCCTGTGGTGTGGGACCCAGACAATATGGAAGAGAAACTGATAGACATTTCAATCAGCCCATGGTTTCATCATACTATGAGGACTCAATAGTCAAGTCCCAGAACCACTGGAGTGCTGCAGGCTTGAGTTAAAAAGGAATTTAGTGACAACAGATCAACCTGGGATTGTTGGCACCATCCTGTTGCAACTTCTGTTCCAAAACAAACACAAAAATTTCAAAAATATTGCAATTCCAAGGGGCTTTCTTTCATGGATAGGGCTGAAGTGGTACAGTTTGGCTTATATCTAATATATTAAATTTGGATATTTATTGTCAATGTGCTCTAATTTTCACTTTTGAAGT